TTCAAACTCACGTCTCCGGTAGAATGCTTTGAGTTACAAAATCGTAGGAATATTGTTTAGATATAGAATACTTTTATCGCATATAAGATAGTAAAATGAATACTAAAGAGCAGCAAATTCAAAGGTGACGATGACGGCCTTGAAGGCCAGGGGTACAGGAAAACTTGGGTAGTCAGAAGTGCCGGTCCCTCGCGGGCCCGGCTTAAATACAGCATGATGGGCACAAAAACTGGTAATGCTCTGGGGCTCGGCTTAGTCTCTCAGTCGACCGATAGGGGTTCGGGTGGGGGCGAATTGTAACACCGCTGTTTCCATCTCGGAGTCGATCGGGGTTCCTCGGTTGATCCCGGCTGCACAGCTGATCACGTGATCAAGCCCCCCTGGGGCTGATCACCTTCCCGTATTTCCCGCGAGGGAAAAGGAACGGGGAAAAAAGGGTCGAAATTGGCCTTCCGGTAGGAAGGCCATTAAATTCGCATCTTTAGTTGCGAGATTGGGGGCCGCCGCGAAATGCGGAGTGGTGGGGTGGTTGGGCTTTTAACGAAAAAACACAACATCGGTTTCCTCCCTGTTGCCTCGCGTCCCCATCTCATTCCTCCCGATTCTTCGCCTTTGTATTCAATGGCGAGGCTCCCCCCCGAATTGGTGGTGCTTGTATTCTTGCTGCCTCCAATTGGTGGTCTTCATTTCAAATTGCTAGCCGGATGTCCGTCCTGCCCTTATTGTCTGGCCTTATCCTCGTAAGTGCTTTTACCAATTCCTTTCCTTACCCTTGGCTTCCAGCGTCTCTCCGCTACAATTCTCCCACTGTATTGATCTTGTGGAACTGCGAATGTCGGCTCTGGCATGCTTTTTGGACAGCGATGGGTTGCAGATTCTTTGGGGCAATCATGACGGGTTAGTTAGAGTTGAAACTTGCTCTGTAGTTTACAACTTCTCGGGTCTCTTTTTTGGAATTCTGTGGCTTTCAGCGTCGTGGCCGGCGTCGGATGTGTCTGGCATTGGCATTCTCTGTCTGCTCACACGTTGGAAGCAGACCGTTTCTTTCCCTTTAGCCAAACTTCTCCCTCTTCGACGACTGTCTCTCCGACGTCTTTTGCCCGTGCCCGAATGTCCCCCGAATGATTCTTGTCATCCCCTCGTCACCGGACTCCTGTACTTCTTTTTGAGCCTTTCCCTTGTCTGCCATTGTGTAACTGTTGGTCTGTGGGTTTTCTACAAGCGCGCTCAAAACGCTAATCTGCCCGCTCCTGTTCCAGCGCCTGATGTAGCTATCTTTAGAGAGGTTCCTTTGGATGCTAATTAAGTGCTTTTTCTTCTTTTTCGTAAACAATTCCTTTGTTTATTTCCACCGAAAAAAAAACATTGCAGTCCTTCCTAATATCTAATAAAGATTTTTAGACAATTTTTGAAAAAATAATAGAAACAATCTAGAAGCTAGGGACGGGGCAGTGGAACCGTAGTTTTTAGTGCTGCTTCTTTTTGGGCAGTGGCGACATCGACGTCGACATCGACGTGTCCAGACTGAAGGAGCTTGGTGGGCAAGGCGCGTACACGTTCGGCGGTTTCGGCTCTGGAGAAGGTTAATGATGTTGAGATCTTAATACTAGTTTTTACCTTTGACAAACTAAAGCCGAGTGTACGACTGCATCCCTGATGCACTCGATTTGTCCGCAAACCCTTTTCCAGTGCTTGTGGCAACACCCCAACCGCTGACTGGCTGGATGTTGGATACAGTCAGCGGTGAGGCATCGGAGGCACACTCCTGCTTTCCGAAGCGAGTCATGCCTCTCTTTTGCGGTGCCCTCTGGCTGCTTGCATTCCGAGGACGGATGGCCAGTGCGCTTGCATAAGATGCACGTCTCTTCGTTGGCTCTCCGTTTTCTTCCCTCTTCGCGTCGTTCTTGTTCTTGTCGCCGTATCACGCTGCTCACCTTTAAAAATTGTGGCGTGAACTTTGCTTTTTTTTTTTTTTTTAAAAACGTACATTCAAGACCGTCTTGACGGTCGCTTCTCCGATCTGGATCCCTTCCTCCTTCTCGTCCTTCTTTTCCTTGTCGTCGGCCATGCTCGCCTTCTCCTTGCTTCTCCTCTTCTTGATCGCTCGACGGGCGTCTGGAAAAGCTTTTATTCCTATTCTTTGCGTTAGTGTTAGGCGGCAAGCACGCATGGGAACGACAATCGTGCTTCAATTAGAGACAATTCGGGGGAATTAGTTGCAGTGTTTTTCCAACAAATGGACAATGGTATCGTGTTGGGACCATTACAGAGGAACGAGCGTCAAGGCACAGGGGATTCGTTTATGAAGTGCAGGTGAGCTGGAGGGTAGTCGTCGTCCTCATCCTCGTCTGGACTTTCCGGTATGAGCCATCCTGCACTCATTAATATCATCGGCACGCGTTGGTGGCTTCCCCAGATGCTCCGTGCCGCTTTGACAATAGCCATCCTGTTGGTGGCTCCGTTGCACGCGTTGGCGTCTGCTGGGGACAACTCGATCTGTTGCAGGGGGGAGGATGCTTCCGGAGCTTTCTTGGATCCAGGCTTCCCAACGAAGTATTTTTCTTATAAAGCATTCCTCTTCCGTATTTCTTCCCATAATGGTGTCTGTTTCTTGTTCAGTTTGGTCATGACCGATGACTGCGCCCTCGTCTACCTTCCAAGTCGGATATTCGGCCGCGAACTTGTACTTCTTGACCGTCCTGAAGCCCTCGACCTGGTGCCTCACGGTGGTTCGGCACTCCACGCCTAACATTGTTATGGCTTTTATCGTCAAAATCCCTGATGTGATGGTTTTGTTGAGCTCGTTTACCAACCAGTGCAGCCGTGGGAGTTCTTGCGGTCTTTTCTAGGACGGCCACCTGGTTCTTCTTGTCGAGGAAGAGCCTATCGTTGATCATTTCGAAATTCTCGGCAATTAATCCGATATGGATAATTGTCGCGACGTCCGGAGGTTTGGACGGCCAGGTATTGATCAGGTCCGTGATTCGCTTTGTACGGCACCAGATCTTGATGGTTCTCCGCATCTGTTCTTCCAGTTCACGTTCAGGTGGTGTTAGGGTGGTTCGGGGAAGGATCAAGGGTGCAAACCCGAAAGGGCCATGCTCGTGCAACTCATCCAGGTACCTCATCATCGCCATTTTTTGAATCCCTGCAATTAAAGAGTAAATTTTGTATGAGCTTAGGCCAATCTACACTAATGAAAAGGAAATTAAGGAGTAAAAAAACCTTACTTGGCAAACGAATTCTCAAAAAAGGAAAAGAATAGGGGGTGGTTTTCGTTTTGCGCGAGAGAAAAAAAAGGTTCTAATTTTACTACTAGCTTGATTGCCGATTTTTTGGCTTGTTGGCTTAAAGTAGGCATTTGATAATCCACGGGAGTAGTTTGGCCAATCCATAAAGTACGGCGGATACTATAACTACTTGTCCGATTGTATAGGGTAGATTTTGGATCAAATGCTTCCCGATATGCCACGGGTCCGGAATATTCGGCCAATCAATTTGTAACGAACCATTAGTGTAGCTTACGGAACCCACGGCTTCTTTAAAATTTTCAGGGATTTGATAAGCTAGAAAACCGCTTAAGCCCACGGCAATGCTAGCATTTCCACATTTGATCCGACAAGTTTCCACCACTTCAGCTCTCCCAAATCTCCTTCGGATCACATTTTCGCGTCCGTCTGGGTGGCATGTGATTGCCGAAAAATAATCATCCCCGCAGCGAATTGTTGCTCTCGACTTTTTGTCCGAGAAGCAAGTAATTTTTGCTGTTGCTATTGCATTTTCGCCGCCGTAAGTTCCTGTATAGCCACTAAACGACGTTACTCGACATCTCTCGGTATCTTCGAGGCTAGCTAGAGTAAAATTTTTTGCAAATTTGAGCTGCAAGTGCGCTATTAATCCGAAATTCTTGAAAGCTGGGAGGTTATTTCGATTAGTTGTCAATTCGAAATTGGTTCCGATTAGTGGCAACGCATGATTTGGATCGTTAATTTCATGAAACAAGTCCCGTTCCAAACATCGACACACAGCTTTCTCATCATCGGGCTCACAGACACAGCGATCTTCATATTCACACACCGTGCTGTTATAACACACCAAGGCGGGCTCCGGCAGCTTCTCCAGCACCGTAGCCACCTTGTTTCCTGCCCGGATGAAGCGCGCATGCTCATAAGTATTTGCTGCTTCTTCTCGTGCATCCACCAACGTAACTTCTACCGCTTTCCTGAGAATCGTTTCTCCAATATGCAGGTAGAAGTTTTTCACATCGTCATTTCCGGCTACTTCCCTTTGCTCTACCTCGAAAACAGCTCTGGTGTGCCATGCTGCGCATCGAAATAGTTCAAATTCGGTAGGGTTGTTAATTTGCGCGTAAGTACGGTAGAAAAGACAAGCCGCTCCCAAATGCCAACAATGACAAAAAATTCCAGCGCATCCCATCGTACATCGAGTGTTTCCGGGAAAATTATTTGCGTAGGCTAATTCGGGAATTAAAGTGTCGGGCGAAATGGATTCGCACCGACCTTCTTGACATCTTCCAACCGTATTACAGCTCTTGTGGCTCTGCACGGCTTGGGTGGAATTTCTAGTGAATTTCGATACCCCTTTTTGACAAACTTGGGATAAATAGTGAGGGCGTATGATTATCTGTGTTATTAGAGTATCGTTCGCCTTCAGGTGAATACACACTTCCCTTGACACGGGGGTTAGAAACACATCTAGCATACCTGAAATTTGGCAAGCTTGATTCTTCGATTGGCAGCCGATTTCCGTGTGAGATATCACGTGGATCTTGTCGCATGCATCTGTAGTTGGGCACGTTAGTAACACAATCATGGACAACATTGCCATGCTGATTCGCCGTTAGGGAGGCGTCTGAATTTTCGGCAGCACCAGCTCCTGACTGGTTCTTCGGCTGCTTGTGGCTGACGGATTTTTCTGTATCTCGGTCAGTTCGACGTCCCCTTCTTCCACATCGGGCTGCCTTCCCTCTTTCGTGAATCGAACTTTTTTCAGTACTTGCCGTAGCCTGGAGGGTTCTCTTCGCACCGACGTGACTTCCACAATGTCGTCGTTGTCGGAAGAATCGTCCATTAGTTCCTCTTCTTTCTGCCTCTTCAGGTCCGAAAAGAACTTTCTGGCCTTCCTCCAATTTGTGAGCGGTTTCCTGGCAATATTCAAAAGCCCAAGCAGAAGAGTGATCGTCATCGTTATCGCGCTTGTCGTGACGAAAAACCTTCTGGGATTGCAGCTCGGATGGACGAGATTTTCCGTACAAAAATAGCATTTTATGTTCTGACAGAACGGAGCAGGTGGGCAATACCTTTCCAAAACGATGAATTTGCCTTCTTCCACCTTCTTCCATCTGACGGAGTACTCGTGGTATGTCAGAGCCACTGGTAGGGGGATTTCTGTACTCTCCGCCACCTCCAGCTTCTCGATACAGTAGCCTTTTGTATCGCGTTCGGACTTGGCGCATACGTGGTATGCTGTTCCGTTGCTCTGATCTCCATCCTGTAGTCTGGCTCCTCCTTGAATGCAGAGGATATCTGACTTGACGGTAGCTGCGTTGGAAACTGCTTCTCCCGATGCCTCGTAGATGGCAAAATGCTTCTTTGTTGACGCTGTCGCCTGTGTCAACGTGCCTTTTGCGATGAAGTTGGCCGGGTCCAGATCGACTTCTGGGAATCTGGATTTCTTCTTTGCGGTGGTTCTATTCTTGTCCTCCGCTTTTTCAACTGCCTGTTTTTCATTGCTTTTGTTCTTATCCATTTTGAACCCTGATAACGCTTTCTGGAAGCTTGACGTCTGCTCTCTCTGCTCCCGAATTCTCGCGTTTTCCGGCTTTGTAACCGCCAACTGGTGCCCTTGGTTATTCCCGCCATTTTTGACTTTTTCGGACGGTTTTCCTAGACTTGCAAGGTTCTTTGTTGCTTTGGATTTCGGTTTGCTTTTTCTGCTTGTATCAGCCGTAGTTGACACTTCAGACGCTCTGCCTCACCACGACTATTTGGTCTCTTCCCAAAGTCCCCTGTATCGTGGGTGGGACACTGGGTATTTCCTTTGGCACTTCCTCTTCTGCATGATTCTCTACCGTCCTCACGATTTCTTCTGCATAGCTGTTCTGAACGGGAGCTGGTATTCCTTCTGTAGGCACAGCTGGCGTTGCTGAAAACCCGTTGTTCTGGTATCTTGCCAGTTCGTGAGCGTAGCTTGACCTTCCTGGAGTTCTCGTTGTCGTTGCTTCCGTTGCAGACTGTTGAGGGAAGCTGGCTGCAAATCGATCGAAGCTGCTCATCGTTGTCGAGATCGGATTTCCATAGGATGGTACGATCAGGCTGGCTATGGTAATTGCAATCATCCATTTGCCTGCAGACAAACCGGTGAAGTTCTTTTGTTTTGACTTTGCTTCTCTTTCTTCGAACGGGACGAGTAGCTGGATGGGTCGCGTGATGGTCCTTCCCGCGGTGGTCTTGAGCATGGCGGATCTGATTTTTCCATCTCTGCTCTCCTTTAACGACAGAATTCTTCCCATTTTCCACTTGGCTCGTTCCTGCTCGCCTTTGATGAGGACCACTTCACCCACTTCCGAGATATCTCTTTGATTGTAGTGCTTCTTATTTGGAATGCTATTCTCGAATGCAGAGTTGACGTTCAGGAAATCCCTCGTCCATATTTTCCAAAATCGATCCAAATATTTTCGTACGGCGGAATACTTTTGCGTCACGGATTCCCATCTTCCCTGATGCCCTGGGCTGTTAATCGTCGGGAAGCTGAGTTTTGGCGTGATTAGGTCTATGGGCCGTAGCATTTCTCCTTCGTCATCGCCGCTGACATAGGCATACGGGCGACAGTTAACTGCTCGTTCCACTTCCACGCACACTGTCTCGAATTGAGTTCGTGACATTGGGGTATCCGTAATCGCATATTTCATTGCCTTTTTGAACAAACCCACTAGCCGTTCCGAAACGCCGTTCTGCCACGGAGCCTTTGCCGTGTTGAAGTAGAAGCGCACGAATTTGGGGGCTAGTTTTTCCTCTACTTGCTCCAAAGTGATGTTTCCTTTCAAAA